CCGTGGGAGAGCCTCTATACCTGATATAACCCCCACCTCTCACTGCCGCGCCGTGGGAGAGCCTCTATACCTGATATAACCCCCACCTCTCACTGCCGCGCCGTGGGAGAGCCTCTATACCTGATATAATCCAGGAAAATACCCAGCAATGTGAATAAAGGTGAGAGTTGCTGAGTGATGAAAACATGTATGAATAATAAAGAATTTTTCATTAGGTGGAGGAGGTGACTACAGAAGGCCAGACTGTCCTCGAGGGTGACAGTCCCCTTAGAGACGGCGGGTGTCACATGAGGGGGGGGGGGCAGTGCAGTGATTTACTGCCAGTTCCACCTTCTGTGGAATGTATCCATTGGCATAGATGGGTCCTGTGCAAACAGTTCCCTATCGCCCCCCCTCCCCCCATTCTAGGGACCCCTCCCATCTCATCCTAATCCACTCAGTCACCAAGGGCCATTACCTCCCCCACCCCCCGGAACACCATGTAAAACAAATGAGTCTTCCCAAAGTATGGCGCTCTCCAGACCCCCCCTCTTCATGTGCGTCGGAGCGTGAACTCCCAAGTCGCGTAATGGTGCGGATCTTTGGGGGGGGGGGGGGGGGGTTTGGTTGATCTCCGTCGTACGAGTTTGCGTTGTGCAGCATTACCACATGAACGCTTCAGAACCTGCCAGCACTCACATCGATTGCTCCAGGCAATAAATCGAAAACTCATAGCACCCTGCTTACATTAGGCTCGACTAATATGAAGACAGTGCGACTGCTGTTGGCTGTCCCAGGGCCGGGCGCAGGGCGCAGTGCGCAGGGCGCAGTGCGCAGGGCGCAGTGCGAGCGGGCTGTGTGTCTCCTGGCCTTCCTGAGACCCGCAGTCTGTACCTTTCAGCAATGTGCATCCTGCATGATGACCTCAAAGCCAACTCAGCCTCCAGCTCCAAAGAGAGTCGCCGAGACGAAAAGCATCAGGAAAAGCCCAGAACTCCCACCGTAACCAGGGACGGGGGTGGGGGTGTGTTTGGGCGGAAATCATCCAGGGGCTGTGCTGTCTCGACCCCGAGACCGATGGCCGCTGCATCACAGGAGCTCTGGGCCTTATCACGCGACGCGGAGATCTTCAGAAGCTCAAGTGGTAACGTGATCCGGCCCCAGAGACCCAACATCGCACGCTGCGGTTGGGGGGAGGGTTCTCCCAGCGAAGTGGGGAGGGTCTTTGAGGTTTTGTGGGGGTGGGGGGGCCTTTGTTTGAGTGTGTGGTCACCTTTACACCCCACGTTACACTGATTCCCAACATCAAGGGCTTGTTCCCAAATTAATGGCTATCGCAAAGAAACCACAAAGCAAACGGCGGGGGGGGGGGGCAACTCCTCAAAGCGTAAAAAGGGAAAGAAAGAGAATAAAAAGAGGAGGAGGAGGAGTGAGAGAGCGAGAGAGAACGAAGAAAGAGGCGTGTGTTTGAACACGATGGCTGTAAAAATGGGGAGAAACAAGGAGGGGGGGGGCACCCTCACCGTTAATCCCCTCACTCGGTCAATTACCCCACAGGGGGGGTATTACCCTAGGTTGCCCCACCCAAGTCAGGTTGGCAGCTTCAGAGTGATTTTGGGGGGGGCAGGGGGACATGGGATGTGTCGCCTGATAGGTTTGTGTGTGTGTCCGCGTGTGCGTTTGTCTGTGTGTGTGTGTGTGTGTGTGTGTGTGT